GGCCTATTAGGTGAGTCTCTTTTCACCACAGCACTGTGCACCTTTCTTTCTGGTGATTTTATGATGCTTTCTGAAATGGGTGAGTTTGTGCACGGGCCCTTTAAGAGCCTGTTTTAGTTTCTTTGTGAACCAGCTTTTCTTAGTGTACTCCCCAATGTTTTAGTAGCAGGCAAAGTCAGATATTATGCCACTGGTCTCGATTGTGCTGGGTCCACAAAATGCCCACAGCGGGGGTGCTCCCCGGCTTAGGGCCCCACACCTCCAGGGAGAGCTGCGTATCTGTGGGCTGCTCCCCGGCGGCCATGAGGCACTGCGGCTTGTGAAGGCTGTGTTTTTCCTCTCCAGAAGGGAGTCTCTGCCTCTTCCACCTCAATTAGGATTGTCTGTTGTTGCAGGAGTTCCTCTTATCCAGTTTTCAGTTCTGTCTCAGGGATAATTTTTCCATAAGTAGTTGTAAATTGTCTGTGTCCACGGGAGGAGGTGAGGTCCGAGTCTGCCTACACCACCATCTTGAGTTTGCCCCGCTTACTACTTTGTTAATCATAAAGTAATAAAGTCTTTAATTCATTTAACCATAACATTCTCTATAACCAAAAAGCTTTTCTTTCTATTCAGTAATCAGAAATAGAGCTTCCTTTTTTAAGGCAAAGGAGATAAAAATAGATGAAATGAGAACACATTTTATATTTTATTGAACTTCTCAGTTCCTGATAAATGCCAGAAGTTCAGATCACCATGTGGGGGGTATTTCTTAGTACAAAGAAAAAATATAGGTGATTTACATATTTGGCTCTGTTAGTAAAATGTAAACAGAATTAAAATTTTCTTATTTGAAGTCACACATTTAGATTTTCCAATTCAGCACAGCTTAACCAGATTTATGAGAAAACATAGCCTATATTTTTGCCCAGTAAACGAGTCCAGAAGTTAGAAATATAATCTACTTTCTCATCATCATGGCACCTCCATTTGCTCTAGAGATATCAATCTATTTGAGGTTTCTTTCACACACACACACACACACACTTTTCTTAGTCTTCTTCCATTTTGCTTATTAATCCAAAGAAGTAACAAAAGACGGAAGTGTTGCATAGGTTGCCTTAGTCATGGGAATTATTGAAGTAACTTTGTCTAAATGTTACTTTCCCTTCTCTTTCTTTCATTAGTTCTCCACTTTGTTGTATTTTACTAATTTTATTTCATTTTCCAGACCTAAGTCAACGTTAATCTACCACTGTACATCTTGTAACCTCAATCCCTGTAATTGGGGCAAAATGGGTAAGCACCTATTGTGATGTGACTACACATCTGCTAGCGACTGCCCACACACTATTAGTGTCTGCCACAGGGGAAAAGGTAGACAAAGTGTGTCATGGAGCTTAGAGTCTAAAAAAAGATAAAATAATTGCAAATTGTAAATGTGTGAGAGTTAGCTAGAATGACCGTGGTATACCAAAGAAAGGGGCCAGTGGGAACATCTGTGTGACTGTAAGCAATAAGAGGTCGACTGGCTATAGAGATTTAAAAAATTAATAAAGCCAAGTAAAAGTCAGCAATTATAAGCAATGTCAATGATAAAATACTCCTCCTCCTGAGGCAACTGCTCTCATATGCATATCACTTGCCCCTTTGCTACATCACTGAGGATGTGAAATGATCAATGACCAAGTGGATTTAGAAAAGTCCAATAATATTAACTTTTGTTATCGAGTCAATGATACTCTTCTATAATTTATTCAGTTAGCCATGTGTGACCCTGATAGTGTCTTGCTGAATTGAAGCAATTAACCCTGCATATAATAGAAAATTAGCTAACCAATCCTGTATTCCTTTGTCAACTAAGGAGTTGATTTTCTTATGACGATCTGAAACTTTTAGATCATCTAGCTGTTGTTTAGGTACTACATGTAGAAAAAAATTAAATGACGATTTGTTAGAATCTAATTTTTGATTCAGAGCACTCTGCTGTGCTATTCTATTTGCAAAGTTATTACTTCAGTAAAAATTATATGAAATTATCTACTACCATCAAAGATCTTTAAATCATATATCCAGTTATTTAGATCATATGTCTAAATAGTTCTGAAAACGTTTGGAAGTAAAAAGAAATCTCTACCTCAGTAACAGAATTAAGATGTCACTCATAAAAAGAGGTGTTAATAGAATCAAACAAGATATCTTGAGCTCTTAAATAAAAAGATGCTACATGTAAATTCCATTTCTGAGATTCAAAATATTCTTCTTCCATGCTGAAAATGCTTACTATCTGCTTTATAAAATTAGAGAATGTCATAGTTGAAAGTGATCGTAAAAATAATCTAAAATAAATAGTGCTCACTTTATTTCACATATGAAGCCCAGAGAGAGTATGAGCTATTCAAATTCATATGGGGAGCTGGTGCCTGAAATACAGGTAGAAGACAGGTCGCTTGCCTCTCTTGAATGTGCAATAACTACTCCATTAGTGACTCTTAAAAGTGAATATGAATCCGTCTGGGAGGAAAAGAGTCCTGGATCTGATGTTTCTTTGTATATATAGTGTACACATTTTTCATATAGATTTCCAGGTAGTGTCTTTTAAGGAGGACAATAATTGTATTACCATAATAACTAATGTCTTCATCATAATTGAATAATGAACTTAGGCGTATTCTTTGAAAATTCTACATAAAGAAAATCAAAATTGAATTCAAATGAATATCTTCTGAAAAGAATTATTGAATTTACAAGTGTACATTAAAAGTTTTTAACTAGGATTTATCTAAGTTATAATATAAAAAGAAAAAGATTATCACGAACAAAACTCTGGAGACAAGAGTGGACAACTGAGTCTGGCATATTCTCAGAGAAGTAGGAATACCAAAGAAGTAGAAGACTGTGGTATTTAAAGTGAACCAGCACAAAGAAATCCTGCCTTTATTTTCTCACTTTTACTTACACTTTAATAAAGGTTCCTAGATAACCTTGGGAATGAATGATGGATTTAAGTTTTTCTGAACAATACGTCACTGTATTGACTAAAACTATGTCCCCAAGAAGTTGTCTTAGCGTAAAGGTTTCAAGAAAAGGACCCAATTCTTACCCACTCACACTGTTTGATTTTGCAGGTGACCACTTGTCCGGCATCAAAATCTTGATATTGTTCTCAAAACTGACTCTTGACTCTACACAGCAAATCCTTAGTCTTTATTATTTTGACCTATTGTAAATACCATCCACCACAGTGAGTTTATACACTCCTAGACTTAGCACTTATTCTGTTGTTTTTTCCTCTGGATTCCAAGCCACGGCAACCGTCAAAAAATTCCCATTTGAGAAAGCTTTTAGGCGGCCCAATGCTGACTTCACAGCCAACACCATCACAACCCATTACCAGAACACAGTCAGCCACCGCGCCCCTGCCATCATCTATGACTTCTGTCTGTGGCTCACAGGAAGGAAGCCCAGGTAAGAAGTTGGGTCAGTAGCTTTAAGAATGTCACTACATGGAAGACTAGGGCCCCAAAGTCCTTAGCCCTCCCTTCAGCTGGGGATCACAGGTGACAACTGAATCTAACACACATATATATAAATTTGGGGACAATCAAAGTAGCAGTAGTGAAAAGGCCCAGGGGACCTCCACCTTAGAAATCTTCCGTCATCATAAAAGGAGTTACTTGTAAGGAACCTGCTTGATAAATTCGGCAAATAGTCATCCACCCAAAAAGAAGGGTAACTGAGACTCTGTGTCACAGGGAACAAGGTGGAGAGGAAAGTGTGCTGATGCTGAGGCCCTTCTGTCACCATCTAGCTGTGTGACATAGGACATATCCCTCTCTCTCTCTGCCTTACTTGAGTACTATTATATGTGTCTGAGATATCATCGTTATCATCATTACCAAAGGCAATTCCTGTGATCGAGAATCAGAAGCATGAATTCTATGGCCTTCTGTGCTAGCCCGTTTGTAGGGGAGGAAGTCTTTCTCAACGTGTTTAATTTCCATCCTTATTAGCACAGCAAATGTCTAAAACTTAGGCAATGTAGAGTTTATCTGAGACCTCATTTAGAGCTCATAACTCTGTAATTGTCAGTTTCTTCTTGAGCAAGATGAAAAAGGGACACTGTGGCTATGGCAAAGATATCTGTATGGGCTTATTAAATAAAGAGAGGAAAAAAAGAAAGACCAAACATTGTAGGCAGAAATACTAAAGCCTTTAAAATATATCACAGTCATAAGAAGACCTAAATAGAGAGCAAATTTCAGTAAGTAGAAAATAAAAACACAGGAGGAAGGGAGCCAATAAAAATCATCATGAGTTTTGTTTGTGAGAAATTAAATTGTGATATTTGTGGGAAATGGGTAGGTTTGTTTTGTGATAGGAATTTTAAGAAAAATCTTAATGGCAGAAAATTCTGGAATTCTTCTAGACCCTTTCCCTCCCTAAGTGTGTTTGTGTGTAATCTTCTATGCATGTACAACCATATATGGACATATATAAATATAGTTATGCTTTGAGGCAAGTGTGTGTGTGCGTGTGTGTATATAAATCAATCCTACATATTTTCTAACTTTTTTCATTAATGTTCCATGAAAATCTAAGTCATTCTGTCTAGTGTCGTCTTTTTTTCCCCCTGTGACAAACAACAGGGCAACCATTATCAGCGCACATGCATTTTTGCAGAACGTGCCCCTGGGTCTTGGGCGGATGGATTGGGGGGTATCTGGATTTGTGACTACTGCAGGGTTGCCCTAAAGGAAGGCTCTGTCAATTTGCACTACCACATCAGCACATGAGGGTGCAAATCTGTTTTTTTCACCCTCATCAATACTTTGCAAAAATCAGTCTTTGAACTGTCAGACTAATGACAAGGAGTGGCGTCTCTGTTCCTTTGGTTGGCATTCCCCTGAGGGCTGGAGGGGCCGGGCTTTCACCCGTTCAGTAGACATGCACGTTTTCTCCTCTACGAGGTTCCTGCTTCTGCTTCTCACGTATTTTTCTACAGTTGCCAAAATTAATTTGCAGAAACTCGTGTGTGTGTGTGTGTGTAAATATATATTTAATGTATTTTCTCCAAGTCAGTTTCTTATCTTGTAATTTTGATTATGAAGCTTTTTGTAAGAGAAGGGAAGCTACATGTAACGTAGGTCTTAAGAGCCTGGAGTTTGAAGTCAGACTTCCAGATTTAAATCCTGGCTTCACCAATTTAGCCATATAAGCCCTAAATTACTTAACCTCTCTAAATCCTAACTTCCTCACCTGAAAAAAGGGGATAGTAATCATATCTGTTTTGTAGAGTTTTACCTAAGAGTGCATAAAATACAGTAATCACTATTATTACTAAGGAAGTTTTAAATTTTTGTGTGATAAAATGAATCACTTTTTTCCTTTATGGCTTTTGCATATCATGTATTAAGAAGACCTTCTCTACCTGAGAATAATAAATGTATTCCTTTTAAAAAAAATCTAATATGCTGATATCATTCTGTACATACAATGATATCATTGCACAATGATTATTTTTAAAAATTCAAATAAACATATTGAAATCACATCAGTTACATCAGAGTTGTAGAATAGATCAAGATTGTCTTAGTCCTTTGGGCTGTTATAACAGACCATCACAGTCTGGATGGCTTATAAACAGCAGAAATGTATTTCTCAGTTCTGGAGACTGGGAAGTCTAAGATCAAGGCAGATGCTGAAGGCCTGCTTCATGGTTCCTAGACAGCCATCTTCTGTCTATGTCCTCATAGGCTGGGAAGGTGAGGGAGATTTCTGGGGTCTCTTTTATAAGGGCACTAATCGCCTCCTGAAGTCTTCCCCTCCAAATACTGTCACATTGTGGGGAATAGGTTTCAACATATGAATTTTGGGGGGATACAAATATTCAGTCTATAGCAAAAATGTTAGATAATAATAGCTAAATGGAACCCTATTGTGATGTTTGTATCAGGGAAAAATGACTCTACCTCCTGCCTAAGAATTTTCCATGATACAATGAGAGAAGAACCTCATAAGTCATTAGGTATATAGACATTAGGATTTGACCAGAAATACGACCAAATTCCCAAAATAGCATCATAAGTCATTACTGGGTCAACTACAGTAATCACTACTATGAAGTACCAAGGCTGTCCTAACTAAGATAAAAATCAAATGTTCTATAGGCCAAAGGTGATTTGTAGCCAGAAGACCTAGTTTTGAGCATTCGCTATGTGATCTTGAATCCTCCTGTAAGATGATGATAAATAATACAGATCCTGACTACCTCACAGAGTCATATTGTGAGGA